AATAACTAAGTGCAAAAAAATAAATATAAATAAAAATAAAAGTAACATATAAAAAAGTAAAATAAAAGTCTCATATAAAAAAAGGGGGGGAAAACCCCCCAAAATGTTAACTCCCCCACGTTTACGCGCCTATAAACGTAAAAACGCGTCCGGTGCCCCAGTGCGCAAAAATTACAATTGCGCTACACATGTTGCATATCGCCGCGAACGTCGCAGTGAGGGCAATCCTTTTAGGGCCATCAATCACTGATAACACTAAACTGATGAGCGGTAACAGCTTTTAAACTGATGAGCGGTAACCGCTTTTAAAGCATCGCCTATGGCTAATTTTGGGTATTATCGTTTTTGAGGTTTTGCGCGCGCACGCAATTTTAAGGCTTGACATGTCTCTTTACCCGACGTGACCCCGTCTTTTATATTTTACCAAAAAATTGGGTAATGTTTTATCATTTAATATATGGGACACTGGTTTTTTTTTTTTTAAATTTCGGTAATTTTTCCTTTAACCCCTTCATGACTGAGGCCTTTCATTTTTTGTACCCATGTTATATCTTTACATTTTAGGCCTGAAAATTACTTAAAACCCCCCAACATTATATATTTTCTGAATGCCAAGACCCTATAGAATAAAATGGTGGTAGTTGCAAATTTTTATGTTGCGCAATATTAGCGCAACTCCTTATTAAACCCCAATATTTAGTGAAAATTTTAATTAAATGCCCCAAAACACAACAAAATACCCATTTTTTGAATGAAATATAAAAGATGAGGTTACAACGAGAAACGATACCCAACATGCCCAGGTTACAAATTGCGTGCATCCGTAAAACGGCAACAAACCCCAGTACCCCAAAAAGTCCATAGACGCTTTAAAAGCCCCCACAGGTCATCAATTTAGAGATACCCCAAAATACTGGCCCTAGAACTATTGCTCTCACTCCGGCGTGCTCTTGTTTTCATTCTTAGCGTTTGCTCCACCCCCTGTACTGTTCCAGTGCAATAGTGGCAGTGTTGGGCCACTAGAGGATGTTAGGAGCAGGATCATTGGCTATTTTCCAGTACTTGCAGCAATGTATTTCCCCTTTTGCATTCAGAATTGAGCATACATTGTATTTAATTTTTTCTTCCATATTGTCTTCATGTTTCCTTATTTTTGTCTTTTCAGGTTGGAGATAAGGTTATGGTCCTCAACAGATTTGGTTTATGGCAAGAGCTGGTTACTGTTCAGACTAGCCACACATTTATCATGCCAGACGGAATGAGCTTTGAAGAAGGTGCAGCCTTGCTGGTAAACTATGTAACTGCCTACATGATACTGTTTGACTTTGGCAATCTGAGGCCAAAACAAAGCGTCCTTATCCACATGGCAGCAGGTAAGCATTTTTTTTAGACATTGGTTTGTATTACAAAGGTCATGCATAATTGTGTTGAAATGGTCATTGCATGAACTTAAAGCTGAACTCTGGAATAAGAAAATATTGGCTAAATACAAGAGGTTGTGGGCAGTTCTGGGCTTCTGACATTACTCCAAATGTCAAGGTTACCATAATGCTCCTTATGGATGCAGTGCACAAAAGGAGGCATTCAACCCATCCTGGATCTCAAGGTTTTCAACACCTTCCTCTGGGTAAAAAAATGATCATGAAATTATAGGCCTCAGCAGTTTAGTTATCCCTTTGGTGGACCCCCAGGCCTGCGAGGTCATCCAACCATGACTTGGTTGATGCAAGCCACTGTTGTGGCACTTTCCAACCATCAGGTAGGAACCAGAAACCTTGCAGCTCAGAAGCAAATCTAATTCTCACTTGGGAAGAACGTCCTTTTCAAGCCTTGTCTGCTGTGCATATCCCAGGAGTGGAAAATTAGCAGACTGACTTCCTCAGTTTGGGTGCAGAGACAACTCTCTCCAATGTTTAAGACATCTGTGGCAGGGGATGCTGGGTGTGGACCTTCTGGTCTCCAGGTTTGGCAACAAACTAAATAGGTTTGTCCATGTCAGTACCTACTTTGTGGGACAAATCCTGTCTTTTCTGCACTCCAGTCTAGATAAATATTTGAGTACCATCGAAAGTCAAATCTGAACCCTGGCAATTATTTTCCAAAGACTGCTGGCCTCTCTCGCATTATTTTCCCTGTAAGTTACTCTGTGGTATCAACCTGGTTCTGTTGCTTTTTCTTCAAAAACCACCCATTTCAAACCTATTGGGGGATATTCCCTTGTCTACCTTTTTTACTCACCTGGTAGCCTTCCTTGTGGCCATCTTCAAGGGTAATTTGAGTTGGTGGCTTGATCCCTTTTTTTGGTGCTACAGACAAGATGTTGTCATTGAGGTCTAAATCCTCTTCTCTTCCCAAGGAGATTTCTCTCCATTGTCTGTCTGGATGTGGTATGCACTGACGGAACCTACCTTTCTGCTATAGCTTTAAACACTGATCCTCTGTCATTGCCAGTTGAACGTGTATATGTAAGTGTAGCATTGCAGAAAAGTATTTTTAGTTGATATATTCTAGCCTATCATTGGTTAGATCCATTTATGCATAACTTCCTGCCAAGATGTTTATAGATGTTTATCTTTCGTCTTGGGTGTGTTGTCTGAAGAGGAGGCGCCAACTTGGTTCCTATTTCTAGTGCGTACTTCGGATCTGGGAGGGGGGGGGGGGGTTTCTGAGTAAGGAGTGAAAAGAAGAGCAGAGAGCTAATTAGCATATATTACAATTGATCTATTGAGATAGGCATTTTGTCGTCATCATGCTTAACCACTTCCATTACACTTCGACTATCTCCAGGTGAGTTTGGAATCTCATCATTCCTGCCTATGGAACTGAGGACTGGGTCCCAAGGTCCCACACTTCCCTGTCAAAGTGCACTCCAGTAGATGCTTCCTGGCCTTTTCGGCATTGGGCATCTGATTTTCAGATTTGCAAGACTGCTGCCTGGTCTTCTGTTCACATGTTCATCATGTTTTACCAGGTTGATATTTAGGCCTTTCTTATTAGATTCTGAAGTTTTAAAATGGCTTTCCACCATTTCCTCCTAAAAAAAAAGTTTGTAGATCAAACTGATATGCCATTTCAGTTGGCTTCTGTTTCCCTGCCTTGAAATAGTGAAGTGGATAAGGGATAGACTGTACTTGAATAGTAGTTCATAACACCATTCCAGAGATGACCTCACATCCTGCTTTTAAAGACTTGCATTTAACGCGTTTCCTCATTTTCCTGCATGTAATAATCTTCCTGTCCAGCTGCTGTGCTTCCTGTTTAGTTCAAGCATTAAACAGGAAAAGAAAATAAATCTGACTAGAAGCGTTCAAAGACGTAGATGGTTTTAGTTTTTTGTCCTTTTCCACACATTTGTTAATGAAGGAGATTACGTACAAGTTGGGTCCTCACCACCTGTGCTGGAATTGTATGCATTTAACTATAAAATACATGGCCAGATCTAAGATTCAGGAGTTTTGTATCTTAGCCAGCCTTACGGGTTGTAGAAGCAATTGTACACTGACCTCATGCTCGTTTATGGGCAGAGTCTTAAGGTGCCCATACACCTTACGATTATCGGACGAAACTTTTCGTCCGATCGAATAGTCGTACAATTTTCGTACGGCAGCCCCATCCTGCCCCGATCGCAAGAATCATTTAGCCGTAATTACTGAAAAGCACCTGGACGAAATGCGGTAATTGCCGTATTTTCATAAGCGCAGTGTACATCGTATGACTTTTGACGGACGGATACGCCAGCAACCTTACGACAATCGTACGATCAAGCAAAGTTTTCAAACATGCTTGACCGTCAAGTCGTACGATTGTACAGTGTTGTCGGTCGGACACTGAAATGCACACATGCGAATATCGGACAAAGTCGATCGCATACGATAATCGTAAGGTGTATGGGCACCTTTTTTATGGCTGCTGATTTTTTTAAAGTGCACCTTTTTGCTCAAATTATGAACAACGAGGGGAATTATCAAAACTGGAGCAGACCAAATCTGGAGCAGCTGTGCACAGTAACCAATCGGCTTCTGTTTCATTTTCAAATCTTAACTAAACAAACCTAAGATGGAAGCTGGTTACCATAGGCAGTTGCTCCAGATTTTGTCTGCTCCAGTTTTGATAAATTCCCCTCTAGTATTTACAGATTTTAATAAAAGCAGGAAGAGCTTTAGAAATTGCAGGCTGTATGGAGTAATTCGCAACACAGGAACAGATTTGTTTCTATCTGAGCACGAACAGCTTACAAGCACCTAATGCTTACATACAGGTAGTCTGACCTATATCTAATGTCAGTTATACTCCTTAAGTCTAGGGGTAGAGGAATAAGCTGTAGTACTTGCCTCATTTCTCACTCCAGCAGGCTTCCGCCATTCTTTCTTACCAGACCCCTGAGGCCTTTTCTCTTTACGGAAAGGATTCTTCACAGTTACAGCTGTGAAAATGAGGAATAGACTCCCCCAAGAGCTAGTTCTAGCTAGCTCGGTTACTTGTTTTACAAATATCTTTATGTATTCCTAAATGCACAGAAAATTACTGGATATTGAGTTATAGATATATTAGGCATCAGAGATTGTTGATCCAGGAAATATCCGATTGCCTTATGGGATCAGGAAGGTTTTTTTTTTTCCCCTGAGCAAATTGAACCGTGCTTTACAGGGGTGTTTTTTGTTGTTGTTTTTTTTTAGCCTTCCTCTGGATCAACATTGGGTAATTGTAGGCATATTCTGTTTAGGCTTTTATTTCTCTCCGTATCTCTTATAGGTTGAACTCGATGGACTTGTGTCTTTTTTCAACCTGACTATGTATCTATAAGGCAATTTGTCTGGCACTCTAATGTTGTCGCATTACCAATTGACAAGGGGAAATAAACCCCTTCAAATGAGCCTATTAAATTTTGTCTTCCTGAGCAGCAGGAAGTCAGCCAAAATGTAAAATTCCCTCCAATACTGAGCCCCACCCAATTTTGTCCTACCAGAAGATGTTAGTCTTCTGGTTGAACAGCCAGCATAATTTAATGAACGTCCTCCAAGCCCAGGCCCCCGGGGAGTTTGTCATCATGCAACTTGAGTACTACTGTACTAAATGCTGCTAACATATAATCCCC